GAGCAACTTCGAGCGCTGCTTGCTTCAGGAGAGGGAACGAAAGCGCAAGCAAAGGCTCGAGCAACAGCTTCAGGTATTATGCGATGCATGGGTTGCTGCTGCTGCTCCAGCTGCTGCCGTCGCGGCTGCCTGTGTTTGCCGAAAAATGATTTCTCCCACACCGATTATTTGCCGATACGCGTGTGTCTGCATGCAAAAGCTAGACCACCAGCTGCAGGTACTGTGCTGTTTATGGTTTCTGCTGCTGCTGCTGCTGCTGAGTGCTGAAAGCGAAATATCCACTGCTGCCTGCACTGCCGAGAAAACAGTCACTCCAACGCCATTTCCGGTGATGCACATGTATTTGAGAAGGAAAATTCCTTGACGCGCTTGCTTTGTCTTGGCACGCGTACGATGCGCACCGTGGGTTGGTCGCGCGCCTTTGGCAGGTGATGGAGGCGAAGAAAAACCAGCTCAGGATAACCATGCTCCAGCAGCAGCAGCAGCAGCAGCAGCAGCAGCAGCAGCAGCAGGAACAACAGGAGCAGCAGGAGCAAGCAGGGACCATCGGCGACGCCGCCCCCGGCGCCCAACATTCCGCGGGGCCCCCTGTCGGTGGCGACCAAGCGGCGGCAGCGGCGGTTGCCAGCGGGGTGAGTCGGTCGTCCCGTTCGATTCTTGTCGTCACTGATTGAGACGATGACTTGTGGCACAACGTCGACACACAATCCACCCGCGCTGCGCCCGACGCGCTTTTCGTCCCGAAGCCGTTTTCTTTCGTTTCTACGCAATACGCCGACGAGTGAACAAGGTGAGGTGCAGGGGGCCAGCAGCTAAACACGATGTGGCTACACAACATGCAGCAACGACGGCAACGAACGCGACATGGAAACATTTTGATAAAAACATATGCCTGAAACATCTTGAAAAAACATATCGCCTAGAGCTTCCCGAACGCGTGCAGCTGGTAGCACCACGACGGCCATGGCGCTCGATCGTTTCAAGAAAATCCGTGCGCCGAAATTTTGCGTTTGGGATCTGACGGGTATACAAGTAGTGCGGCCGAGCTGTACATTGTTCGTTCGCCATATGTATGTCACACGGCATGTCGTCATTATCAATTATCCTTGTCCTTGGTTTTGTTTGTACGCTCCACTCTGGGGCGTTCTTGCCTTGCGTATATATGTTTGTCTGTCATACCTTACTGCTGTCCCAAAAGCAACGGCGCACAAACAAACAACAGCGTTCAGCCAACGTCCCTGCTTTTCCTCCAAAGCCGAGAACGTCCCACGGTGGAGCGTACAAACGAAACCAAGGACAAGGATGATTGACAATGACGACGACATGCCGCGTGATATGCGGCGAACCAACACAGCAGGTCGGCGACACTCTGTACCCCTGAAAACCCCAACGCATATAGCTGTCTGCCCCCTGTCGAACATGGAAAAAAAAAAACGTGCAAGCAGGTAGTATCTATAATAGCAATTCCTTGAAAAAGTAAGTAGCAGCCAAAATTCCTCATTCTGGGCACCTTTTCCGGTCCTCTTGTTGCCGCCTCTCTCTCTCAGGTGGAGAGAGATGGCCAGTCGCCGAAGCAGGAAGCAGGGAGAGGCGACGAGGGTGTCCTGCCGAGCAAGAGACGAAGGACCAACGTGGACTACGTGGCTCTGCAGAAGAAGCTACAGGTGGGATTGGAGGTCCTCCGAGCCGCCGTACGTAGCATGCGCCCGTGTGTTGGTTGTGTTGCTGATGTGTTCTGAAGGCTTGAGGAGCACCATTTTCGTTGTGGAGGCTTGAGGTGCCACGTGGCAATCCGACTACGGTTCGCAAGCGCGGCTGGCTGGGTGCTGTGGTCGCGCTTGGTGGTCTAAAGAACGCTGCAGAACTCCCGCGTCCTGCGTGCGTTTTCGCGGAAGTGCAACGACCTCAAGTATGTGGTTTGTGTGCGATTGTGTTTTGTTGGAAAATTCATGATCGATAGATTGTGTTTGTGGTGTTTTATGCATATGGTAGACCTTGCTTCTGACGAGATCTCAGCTTTTTGTCCGGAGGTTTTTGGTGTTATAAGTCGAACGGTGGCTCGTGTACCGTGCTGTTTCAGATACTCATCAGGAACAGCAGGCGTTCTGTTGATACCCTGCTGGCATTTTGTGTCAGGGTCTTTACGCTGCAAGCACCAAGATGTTGGCTTGTGCCATGAGGGTGGGAAAATTTTTGACGACGGTGCTGAGAGGATGAGCGATAATTCAGCTCAAATTACCCGGAGGGGGGCCCTCCCCCTCCCCCCTCCCTTTGGTCTGCACGCGAGGGTAGAGGACCACACGTTATCGCTTCTGGCGCACACACGCACCCGTCACCTTTGCCTAGTCAGTCCCATTCCACGTCACCCCCGCTCTTTCTTCTCCCCATCTTATTGCAGACTAGCAGCATACATCGTGGCGATTGATTTCACCTTGCCCGAGCCACCGTGATTCACTGTAGCGTTTTGTTGCACCTTGCCCGATTGATTGAGACTCATTGGTAGTCTCTAGTTGCTAGGTGCCGTCTTCCCCCACCAGACATGTAGTTCAATCCACCGTGACATAATCTCGTCGTTCTGTTGTTTTTTTCCGCGCCCCATCTGACATCGAATGACCCCCCCCCCCCCCCCCCCCCCCCCCCCCCCCCCCCCCCCCCCCCCCCCCCCCCCC